TTAATCTACTATCTGAGATATGATAAAATATGATCTCATAATCTCAAACGACTATCATATCTCATACAACAGACTAACATCCAGCTCAAACTACCTTTAATTTTTTAACGAAAAATGACGATTTTGGAACATAATGAATATTCATGTGACCCTTTTGTAACTTTTAATAGTTTAGGAACTCAATAAAGCAACATCCTATAGTCGGGACCATTGTCTAACTTTTAGTAAGTGGACCCAATAAAACAACATCCTATAATCGGTGGACTATTTGTATACTTTACCTTTTAATTTATTGAATTGTTATAAAATATTAATTACGGTGCCATAATAAATGTAAAAGTTCGATGAATTTAATGATCATTTTGTAATGGTTAGGTAAAATTTGATAATCATTTTATAACCGTTCTACAAATTTAATGATTATTTCGTAATTTTTGATAATTCAATGATCAAAACAATCATTTGAATTTGGTTCACTGACTTCTGGTAAACTTAATCCAAATTTATTTTATGCGTGATTGAAAGCTTTAAAAACACGATGGAATTAATATTTTTGATATAATATTAATGAAAAAGGGTAGCATCAATTGGACTGGAAGAAATAAGGGCTTTTAACGCAGCGCAAGCCATGAGCCATGTATGTGGTTAAGGGATATTGCATGCAGTGCAAGCCATTCCAAAAGTAGGGATCACAAATGTTCGGGTCGGGTCAGATTTTTTTGTTAATCTGATCTGTTATAAAAATATGTACTTTCTACTTAAATCCAATCCGATTCGAAAATTGTATATTCTCACCCGAGTCAACCCGACCCAAAAAACATACATCTATCACTCGACTTTGAGCCAACCAAAATTTTTAGAGTATAAATCTGATCCGATTTGACCCGGTATAAAATAAGGACTTGGTTAAAGTATTGATAAATTTTTTAAAGAAATTATATTATTATCTCAGGGTCGGAGTATTCTCAGCCTCCACTCAAATCCGACCCTACTCGATCCGAATCTAATATTTTTTTTTTAAAAAAAAATTAATCCAATCGAATAGTTTCGGATTGAAATCGGTCGATTTCGGATTAAATTACCTCCTATCAAAAACTCAGTGTCGAGTAAGGGAAGACGAAAGAGATTTTTAATAGAAGCAATAAATCCAGACAGATGGGTGGTTTTGGGTTTTTAGAAACGGTGTTGAAAGTATGCTCTTTTTGATGGGAACAAGAGACTGGTTTGGCCTGGTCCACAAAAATAGGCAATTTAACTCCCACGCTACTCCATTCGGACATTTATTCAAACAACTTGTGCGTTCTTTTTCGTGGGGGTATTGATTGGCATTTTCTCATAATCAATTACACGAATTAAGTGACGTCTATGATAAAAGAATCGTTGTTATTTTTTAGGATTCGAGTTCGAGTACCTTAGATATTAAGGTGTAAGCATTCAATGTTAAAAGGTTGAGAGTCATCTTCAAACAGATATTACCTCATACTTGAGATTATTTTTAAAAAATCATTTTCTTTTCATTTAGATAACAACAATGTAAATTGTGTCTTAAATTATTCGAAACAAGACATTTTTTTTGTTTTGTCCTACTAACCCCATGGCTGGATGAGTGATATTCGTCGATCAAGATTTAGATTTCGGGCCCTATTGGCTGGTGGGGTAGGTTTTTTGGCCCAATACCCCCGAGTATTGGATTAATATGGACTTTATTTTAGAAACTACAACATTCTCTACAGTGAACACCGGCTCGTTACCTCGATGAGTTACAGAAGATATTAATTTATAATTGTCCCTTTGTAGTGAGCATAGGTCATTATTTTATTATCATTAAAATAACTCGTTATCTCGGTGTGAAGAGTTTGTTTAAAAAATATTTTTTAAAATTTAAAAGTATAAATTTTAAAAAATTAAATGAAATTCGTCTCGTCGAGGTGACAAGTTCCTTCAAATTCAAAAAAGTAGCCGCTAGTCAACGACTATATGGGCAACGATCACTTGAAACTCGTCACCTGAAGGTCACGGAGGTGGATCGCATAATGTGTTAAGTACATCTCCTTGGTAAGAAGACGACAACGACAACGACAATCAAAGCCTACGACCCAGGCGTACTCGACGAGCCCCGCGATATATCATTCGACAACTCCACAACATTGTCAAGAACTTATGAAATATAAATAAATTTTCTTTGTAAATATTTATTTTTTTTCCAAACATTTAATTATTTTTATTTTTTAATTTCTTTAAATTTTATCCGGTTAATTTGAGTTGAAGAGTTTCAAGTGACCATTGACCATCATCGTATCTTTAGATTTTTTTTTTTGTATAAACACATGGGTGACTATTGTCTCCAATTTTTTCTTTATATTTTAAAATGCTATAATTTTAATTTATTTCGTTATGAATGAATTCCGTTGCCATTGTTGAGAAAGAATAGCAATTATTGAGTACAAGGGACGATATCTGAACTGGAGTTCATATATATATACGACATGTTCAATTGCTTGAAACGCAAACCACGGCATGGATGCTTCCTGGGGCAACTCCCAATACCGTCAGAGCTACATTTACCCAGAAGCGGCCCTGTAACTCAAAACACAAATCAAAGTGGATAATCAGATCTCAATACCCCACCTATTTCGATGAAATGAGTTTAACGGTTTGTGGACAGCTCGAACTCAATTAGGTTAAAAGTTAGGTTCGAATTAACTCGATTTGAATTTAAACTCGACTTGATAAGTTCGCGAGTAACTCGTTAATTCTTTTTTTTTTGATTTTTTACTAGTTATCTAAAAAAATATATTTCATTAAAAAAATACTAGTTTACTAATTGATGATAAATGACTAATCTACTAATTTTCTAATAAATAATAATAAAATATTAAATTATTAATTAATAATTATTATTACTACATCTAAAAATTAAACCCTAAGTATTATTTTAATATATTAGTAGATTGGTATTTTGAAATTTAGAATTTCAATTTGTTGTATGCACTATTTTGATATTTTTTTTGCTAAATTTATTAATTTATGTTTATATTAAACTATATAGTATTAGTATATTTTATCTATAGTCAATAAAATAAGATAATTTTTTTGTATGTTTAAAGAGCAACCAGATGAGTAACGAGCACGAGTTAAACAACAAGTTTTTTAATGAGCACGAGTCGAGCAAAATTTAACAAGCTTAACGAGCAATGAATCGAGTCAAGCAACAAAAATTTTTAATGAACACGAATCGAGCACTGTCCAACTCGTGATCGACTCGCTCAATAACAACCTGGTTGATACTAGATAGAAATGTTAAGGGGGGGGGGAGAGAGTGACTGACCGAGCAGCCTTCCTTTTTATAAATCCCGGCAGGAGGTACGAAGATCGCAAGCAAAATATCAAGACACCCAGCCGTCTCCTTCTCTTCCCGCCCGCCTGTGGTTCTGCAGCTGAAGCACCCACATTTGATGCAGATACACATGGTGATCGACGATTCAAATCAACTAGCTGTTTTGCTTTGGTTCGAAGATGGAGCTTGCAGGCCTGATGCTTACTTTTTATAGAGCCAATGCCAAAGATGCTGTGGGAGCAAACTGGTGAGTGGTTTGCAGTACTTGACGATATGGATGTCTCATTGTCAGTGGAATTAGTTCAGTGGGTGACATTTGCAAGCTGATTTCACCACGATTGGTTAAGCAACCAAGCTCGATCTCACATTGTATCCTTGGCTCTTTATCGGATGTTCGATTCTATGTAATAAAGAAATCATTGTTATTCCTAAAGACCAAAGTTCGAGCACCATAGATATCAGAAGTGAAAGCGTTTTAATGTTAAAAGATTGTGAGTTATCTTTGAACATATATTACCTTATACTTACCCCAGACTAATTCCCTATGTGTTTTAGATGGTCGTGGTTGGGGCAAGAATAGATCATGCGCACGTGAAAATGGATCAGTCTGTATCGGAGAACATTATCCTACAGCTTATGGATCATATCAACTGTATAGAGCTTGGATTAGTCATTCAATTTAATTCTTGTAGTGATTAATCCTGATAACTAGGAATTATTTAAGATGCTCTGACAAAGAATAGATTGCTTTTCATCTCCACCACAGACCCAAAATTGAACAGCATCTACTTAAACGTGCTTGACAAAGTGAGGAGTCCAGGAATTGGATCCTGTCCTGACATTTGACTTAAACTATAATAAAGATATTAAAAATATTTTTAAATAACTTATTAATAATACTTTTTATAAATGAAATATTTTATTAACAAATATATATATTATTTATACTTTGTAACATCTTGATATAAAACTATTACAAAATAATGACAAAAAGAATATTACAAAAGAATATATTAGTGATTGTAAATTAAAGTGAATTTTAATATACAACCATGAATTTTATTTACTTTTAAGAAATTTAAAAAAATTATTAAGTAATAAATTATTTTTTAAGATAATTAATATTAAATTATTAAAATAAAATTTAAATACATAATTAAGTGGATAATTAATAAGGATAAAATTATAAATTACTTCCAAAGGTAAAATTAAAAATGGAAAAGCTACAAATCCTAGTTTTTACAAACCGTCGTCTGTATGGTGAATTTTTTTTTTACCCATTTGGTATTGATTTTGTGATCGAAACGAACGAGTACTGAGATGGATAAAGCAGAACAAACTATTCCTGTAAACTGGCAACAAAATCAGGCCTTGTTATGCCTGGAAAGGCCGAAGAAGGTGAACCCAATAGATCAAAAGTTAAAGTGTTCGATTGGTTTGTTGGGTCCATCGAAACAAAATGAAGCATCACGACCATGGATCATATCCAAAAAGAAAGAAAGAAGGAAAGAATTACAGCCCAAAGAGAGAGAACTCGTGCCCTTGTTACTCTATCAAAATTAGTATGAAAATTTACATTCCAAATCCTAAACATTTCCCACCCTTCATCTCTCTGCCTACCTATTCATTCTTCACTCCACGAAAAGAGAGAAGTAGGGAAGATTCCTGCATCCAAAATTCAGCACTTGCTGATCTTCAATCTCCTCACGCCTGACAAGAACATCCTACACATGTCATTACGTTAGATTCAGTTATCGATATTTGATTTATTAATCGAATCTACATGGTTCCGTTGAGAGAAAAGGAGTCTACTTACTCCCAGGGAACATCACCAACCATCATCCAATCACCTTCCTTGTCTTCATATGTAAGCACATGGTATTTCTCATAATGATCTCCATCAACCTCAGCTTCAGCCCCTGCAACAACATCAAAACATCATCATAAGAGAGGAACCGCATTGTATTTTTAGTGAGAAAATCAGAAAAGAAAAGAAAAAGGAAGAAACTTTACAGATAATATTAGTGTTGAACATATGTTGAAGGGTCCTTATGAGGTCATAGTAATTATCATGAGCCAAAAGATCCAGCTTTCTCCCAATAGGAATCCCTTCCATGTAAACCTTAACAAAGAACGTCGCACTGTTACACTCATTTTCTTCTTCACCAAACACCCGCCTTAACCTCGCCTGCTCCCTGCCATCAACACAGTTCATTAGCCCCAGACAAAAGTAACCATTTTCAGATGTAAAAGGAAACCAAGTAAACAACCTTCCATAAGGAGGAGAGCTCGAAATGCCAAGGCCGAGCCTAAGATCGGGGCCGAAATCCATGGAAGAAGCTCCACCGCCGCCAGTGGTCGAGAAACCAAAGCGGCGGTTATTGCTGCTGCTCTCGAAGGACGACGACGGAGATGAACTGGCAGCCCTACCCATTGATGAAGAAGAGTGAAGACAAATGAGCTAGCCAGCCGCCACCTTGGGGTTTAAATAAACCACAAAAGGGAGTAGTAAATTTTCTGTTGGGAGAATCAATGGGGGCAAGGCCTTCAAATAACTGGCTGTGCAGTTGGGCTGCTATGTTCTCACGGAAGCCGACATGTACACGCGTCGCCCACCAAACCCGAGTTGTAATCATCATGGCGACAACATTCTTTCTCGGAATTCGACCCGGTATGGTTTTAATGTGCACAGTTCTATGTTTTGTGTTTGCCTGCTTCCCTTGCTTATTTACGGCATGTATGAACAAAGTGTATTGTAATGCTTTTATAAATTAATTTGATTAAGAAATGTTTAATGTAATCTTCATGTTGATTAGCCTCTTCACTTGTGTATTAGAAAGTACGTGTGAAGAACTATTTCAATGTTATTACTTTTACGTAACTAAGACATAATTTGTTTGTATATTTTGAATGATAAGACATGATTTATTGATTGTATTTATTTGTAGGGTAAATTACATATTAGTATTTAGCTTATTAGTTTTAATTCCGTTTAGTATTTAAATTTTTTAATTTTTAAAAATATATATAACGTTTAGTTTTCATTTGATTTTAGTAGCCATCGTTAAAAATTGACTAAAAGGGTAACTTTTGTTCCTGTAATGGACTCAATTTCCCACTTTTTCCCCTATCGTGTTTTCACATCAATTTAACCCTCAACGTTGCTCAATTACATCATTCTATACTCTACCCTAACTTAAAACCCTAAATTATAAAGCTTAGAGCCTAAATCACTACCTCGTAACCTCTAAACCATAAGTCTTAAACCATAAATCATAATTTAGGATTTATAATTTAAGGTTTTAAGTTAGGTGTAAGATATAAAATGATGCAATTGAGTAAATTTGAAGACTAAATTGATGCAAAAAAAAGATAGTGACGAAAATGATAAATTGGATCTACTATAAGAGCAAAAGTGACTCTTAAGCCTTAAAAATTTAACGTGTTTATGGCCTAAACTATCAGTTTTTATCCATTTTATTATCTAAACTTTTAAAATTTTCAAAACCATACCTAACGTTTAGTTTTCATTAAAAATATTACGTTAAATTTTGAACAGAATACTAAAATCAAACAAAAATAAATTTTTAACGGTAATATATTAAAATAAAACAAAAATTAAACTTTAAATATAATTTTTAAAAATAATAATTTAAATATTAAATTCGTAGTTTTTACTTATTTATATTTTGGGATGAGGGCAGTGGTTAATTAAGACATTAGAAACAGGGGTACAAAAGCATCGGAATTGCAGACAATAGGAAGAACATGTGAACTCGAAATTGCTGTCCGAAATCGATGTTCAATGGATAGAGTGATAATTAAGGCCGGGTAATGATGACTTCGGGTTATGTGTGTTTATATATTAATTATTTTAAGGAAAAATAAGAATATATTTTCATTTAAATATATTTTGATTGCTGATATTAAGATTAAAATTATAAAAATATTATTAAATTTGAATTTTATCATACAAAAAACGGCATCTAAATATATTTTGATTGTTGAATCGATTGCGAATAAAATAAATTATATTAAAAATATCGTCTTTACCTTTATTGTATTCGATTTAAATTAATTAATTAATAAATCAAATACCGATAATTATAAAAAAAATCCCATCACCGAGATATGCAATCAAACTCAATTTTGCAAGCACAAGAAAAGAAAAAGGTTGAATTGGATTTGGAAGGAAATCTTGGCCCACGTGTGGGAGGTAATTCTTTGTCTCACCTTAAAATAAATAAATAATATGATTATTTTTTATCACTCGTCTACAAAAATAGTGTTGTAAATCAATCGAGTTTAGTTCGAGTATTGTTGAGTTTCACTTGATTCGAAAACTCTAAAATAGAGTTAGACTCTACTCGAAAGCTCACGAGTCTAAAAATTCAAGCTTAACTCGAACTCAAAATCATGAATTTAAACTCAAAAAAGCTCGTCAAAGCTCGAAAAAATAATCATGAACCTAATTCGGTTGAAACTCAAACTCAAACTCCAACTATAACCTTAAACACATAAAACCCTTATATTGTATTTAAAAAAATAAACACATAAATTTTAATATTATTAATAATTTAATTTTTGAATAAAATTTAATATACAATTTTTTTCAAATTGCTCGCGAGTTTTATGAGTCGAGTATCAAGTAGCTCGTTTCAGTTCGTTAAGAACTCTAACTCAATTGAGTTGATATCGAGTACCTCACAATATTTCCCATTTCATTTACTACCCTAAACGCAAGAAAGGCAACAACAGATCCTTGCTTGCACCAAAAGAAACGCCATTTTTGCCAAAGGAAAAGTGAAACAAAGAAGAACAAAAGCAAAAGTTGATGTTCCCTACCTCCCCTACCCATCACTTTTCATTTACCCAACTTATTAACCTCTTTTCTTTTAAACCAACAATTATTATTATAAAATTTATAATATTTTTCTTTTAATTTATTAATTCATAAATAATATTGTTTATGTCTTTATATTCTAGCATGAATTGTATATTTTATGTATTCGAGAGGAACAATAAAAATAAGAATATATTAACCAACAAGGTTGATTCAAGTGGTAAGCAGTTTGATTCTATTTAAATAGGTCTCGTGTTCGAGTCCTTGTGAATGTAGAAAATATTCGAGACGATGCTCATACTCCAAAACTAGGTGTGACCCGGATCGTTCTGGATTAATGAAACTGTGAAACCGAGAGGGCAACCAAAATAAAGATAAACAGGTATTAGGGTTAACATTAGGGTTCCCTATTGTCCAAAAGTGGTTAGCGTTCTTTGATATGTAGGCTTTATCTTTTTTGCAGCTGCTACAACATTAGTGTCTTTTTACACATGTGTTTAAGCTATTCTATGGCCTGCATGTTTCGGCATGCCAACATCTTAACCCCAAATGTATGCTTACCGGTATTGTGTTCTCATCATTGCTTTACACAAATTCTTTAGGCTTTAGCATCCAACTAAAGCAGTAATCTTTGGGACTTATAAACATAAAGGAAATGTAATCAGGGATGGATCATCTCTTTGCTCGACAAGATAGAATTTTACACTTTTTTAGGATTATTGGATTAGAGAAATTAAAGGCTGAGATTAACAGTGAGAAATGAGAAGATGTTTAACAAGGAATTATTCTCAGTTTTGATTTCCCTTCATCCACAATCCTAAAAGGGTGTAAAATAGATGAGTGAGAATGACATCTATTAATTTACCATGAATCTTCTCATAGTGTAAAATTTATTAATTTTACATAGTGTAAGCGGATCTCATCCCATATATATATATATATATATATATATATATAGAAGATCATATTACAAATGAAAAAAAAATTAGTTTTACATATATTTAAGACTTTTAGATGAGTGAAAATAGATGGTTGAGATTAACAGTAGTAATGAGAAGATATTCACTGGAACATAAAACAAATAGTTATTCCCAGCCATTTATTTTACATCATTTTAGGATCGTTAGACAAAGAAAAATTAAATGTTGAGATTAATTATTTGTTTTTATTTTCCGGTAAATATCTTTTAACGGAAAAAGACGAGTTTAAAAGATAATGAACAGTCAGGTGACCATTTGTAATTTTAATAGTTGAGGAACTTAATAAAATAACATTCTATAATCAAATGATCATTTTGTAATTTTTAATAGTCGAGCGATTTAATTAAACAATATCCTATAGTGTACCATTTGTATACCCCAAATCAGTTACATTAAATTTTCGGATTTACAGTCGCATCATCTATCTATCAGCATAAAGAAAGTAGAGTAAATTAATTGATACTACTGAACTAGTAAATATATTGTATTAATAACATACTGAAATGGAAGACAAAGGCTGTGCCGGATACAACGTTATTGAGAGTAATAATCGTAGAATGAATCCCGTATTCGCTATCATAAGAATAAATTACAGACAATAAAATTTAAGGACTTGGTCTTGCCGGAGAAGATGTAATAAATGGCTGAAACCTAAATCCGTGACAACAGCAGCAGAATTCAGGAATTAGGGGAACATGAATGAAATGGAAGATACCAACAGGTAGAATTTGTTGCTGAAGCTTTTGGGTCTTTTTAAACAAGCATTTAATGACATGTTATGACATTAAATTTACTTCTTGGCCCATATCCTCAACAGTAAGGATACTGTGTATGCCATTCATATAGCCAAAAGGTTGTCTGGAAATCTTCTCGGATCAAAAGAAAGTTATCTGAACTTCGGAACCAGTTGGCATGGTGCAACTGACTAGTGTCCTAAAAGGTTTAATCAACTCCATATCAGTGTTCCTACACAATCATTAAACATCTCCATATGCATTGAATCAAAATTCACATTTTCACAGGCATGGACTCTCAAAAGAAAATCCAGCAGGACACAAGAAAAAAGGAGTAAAAGAACGAAGATTACATTTCCCATCGTCGGTCCATCACATCAAGCTGTTGCTGAAGTTTTTCTTGAGTCCAAATCAGGTGAAGAACGTCGAAATCTAAACTCGAGACGCCCGAAACCACTGCAGACGAAAGGGAAACTTTTATGCCCTGCAACACACTATAATTCAAGCCGATTTATAGATACAGCGAGCTACACACCTTGTTGAAAATTAAAGAACAAGTTGGGCTGCTAAGTAGCAGCCGGCTGCTAAAACAAATTGGGGAGGGGGGCTGCCCAAAATATTTTTATTTTTAATTACAATATTAGTCCCTAAGTTTTAACTATAAATACCCTAGCTCATTTAGCTTCAAAATCATCCCAAAATCTTCTAGTTCTCTCTCAAGTGTGTTGTGTAAACACCTGTAAATTTTCTCTTAGTAAAAGATCTGCAGCAGTCCGGAGACGTAAGCATAAATTGGCTGAACTCCGTTATCAAATTTCGGGTATTATTTTTCCGCTTTTATTTCGCATTCTCACTAATCTGGTTATAGGGAAATTAC